TAACATTTTAAATTTGTGTAGACCTCCACTGAATCTTCTCCGGCAAGAACTAGCTGGAACAACAATTTATTTAGATATCCTCCATAAATCAACAGCGGAGCAGGGCAAAAAGGACTCCACTGAGGAAACAAATGGTTTGAATGTGGAATCTGATGACCAGGAAAAGATCAAGTACCTAGCAGAAGGGAAGCTGGTTTCTTTTTGCGGGCAGATTTTGAAAGAGGCGTCTGATCTCCAGCCTAGCACTGGGGAGGCTGCCAGTGCAGACATACATCGTGTATTAGACTTACGGGCACCTGTTATTGTCATGGTATATATCTGGATCCTGGAAGCTTTATGTTAGGTCTTGAAATTCTCATCCATGTTTTAGGATAATCTGTTTATGCTCTGACAAGAAATTTTGTTTGCATTTCAGGTTTTGAAAGGAATGTGCATAATGGATGCTCAGACCTTCAAAAGGCACCTGAAAGAGTTCTATCCATTAATTACCAAACTTATCTGTTGTGATCAGGTACGTACTTTCTCAGATGTCGTTTAGTTTCTAGGTACCATCAATGAAACATGCGACAACACCAGAGCTTTAATTTGTGGTTATGCTTCAGATGGATGTTCGTGGAGCCCTTGGTGATCTCTTTAGCAAACAGCTTACTCCACTCATGCCCTGAAGTATGGCAGTATTTCCACTCTTGCATATATCTTGTTGGAATATATTCGTCATCAGCAGTTTTGTGCAAACATGGAGCACCGGTAGGGTGCTTGACATCCTTAAGGCACATGTATGGTGCAACAGCTATTCCCTATGAAGTTACTAATAGCTTGGTCAGCGGGAACAGCAAGTCCCTAGGCCACATTTTTTTTTGGATGACGCAAGGGAAGTAGCTTGACTGTTGCGCACACCATGTTTTTGCTAGTGACTTGTACTTTTGAGCTATTTATCTGTGCTCGGACAGGGATGATGCTTCCATTATACAGAAGAGTAGTGTTGGTGATATGTACACATTGTTCAGGACATTGTACTTGAGGCCTGTTATTATATGGCAATAGTGGATTATTTGCGGCAAGCCTTGTTTTTGTGCGTCTAATAAAGTGGGGTCCTGAGAAGTATAGCCTTATCTGACTGATTGTTGCAGAATTGCGTTGGCAAATTCCTATTGTCCTGATTGTTGCAGAATTGGGCTGGCAAATTCCTGTTGTCCTCAAGTTGCTGTAATGTTGACACGGTGCATTTATCTGTTGGTATTTTTGTCTTGTCCGTATTGGGCGCATGTATTGTTTGATATTGTGCATCAGTGTATTTATCCGTAGTTGACAGCAATACAGATATTACTACTGTTTTCTGTATTTTTGGAATGCTGCCAACGCAAGCGCATTGTGTATTGGGTTTCCATATTTTCAATCACCTGTCGAGAATCGAAGTCCAAGGTGAATCCATATTACCAGAATCCAATCATTCATTTGCTGCCAACGCAGGCACATTGTTTATTTGGTTTCCATATTTTCAATCACCTGTCGAGAATCCGAGAAGGCCAAGGTGAACGCAGCATATTGTCTACTATTAATACTTTATATATCTTGCGTACTAGAGCGATCGCTGTACCCCTAAAAAAAAAAGAGAGTGATCGCTGTAGAAGTAGGCCTATCTTGCGTACTAGAGTGATCGCTGTAGAAGTAGGACTAATAGGCGAGACCCTCAGACCCATAATGCAGCCGACGAGACAACCAAACCCTAGCCCAAGTGAACAGGTTCCAGAACCCAGGTACTACAATACGGAGTATATGGCAACAAGGCCACAATGTTTGATTGTTTGCAAAGTTCTCCAACTATACCAGTGTCAACATCATGAGATACTCATGATATAAACCACGTTATCCTAGCGCTCAGACATCCGGCGCCTGCTCCTGACGCCGCTCCCCTTCCCGACGTGAATAGAAATCAGATCGGAATAGAATAGAATAGAATTGCGTCCACCGCGCCCCTGTCCTCTGTTCCTCACCGCGCTCCTGTCCCTGTTCCCCAACGCATTCTGTTCCCCCACCACGCCACCTGTCCCAAGAGCACAAAAACACACCAAGTGCAACATCGCAAAACATATGAAAAAACTATGTACTGCAACATCGGAATATAAATGCTGCAACATTACAAAATTATGTAGTGCAACATCGAAGAACATGTACTGAAACATCGAAAAATATATGCTGCAACATCGAAAATTATGCTGCAACATCAAAAAATAATACTGCAACATAAAAAAAACATGTACTGTAACGTCGAAAAATATGTACTGCAACATCGAAAATTATGTGCGGTAACATAAAAAAAATATGTACTGCAACATCTCAAATAGTAGTACTGCGACATCGCAAAAATAAACCATGAAACATGGAATAGAAAAACATTCGAAAATCATTTGTTGCAACAACCAAAAAACCCATTGCAACATTCGAAAATCATCTATTGCAACATCTAAAAAACCCATTACACCGCGGAGAAACAACAAAGGACGTACAAACAACAAAGGGATGTGTTCGAGGTGCAGGCTGCTCCAGCCCTAGCCCATCACCTTCGAGCTCGCCCGGAGGGAGGAGGGAATAGAACCCCAGAGCTCGTCGGAACCCTAGCCACCGCTGCGTCCCTCAGATCCAGAGGAGGAGGAGGAGGCGGGCTCAGACCCAAAGAAGGAGGAGGAGGGCTCAGATCCAGAGGAGGACCGACCTACCTCGTCAGAGCCGCCGCCGTCGTCCTCGTCTCCGGTGGTGGGAGCGGGAGCCGGGTCGCTGGGAGAGCGGAGTCGCAATGGAGGTCGCGAGAAGGGGGAGGGATGGATGGATGGAGGGACCACGAGCGGGCGGGGCGGCAGCGAGCTGGGCGCGGCACACGGCGTCTGTCCCGGCGACGCTAGCAGGCCCAAAGAGCGGAGGGTGGAGCGGCAGCAAGTGGCGTGCTAGGGGAGCGGAGTGGGCCATGGGATGGCGGAGAAGCAACGAGTGGGCCCACGGGGGGAGCGGGATAGGTCACGAGATGGGATAACGATGCCGATGGGATAAGGAGTGGGAGTCACGGGGCCACGTCCGGACGCAAGTTGGGAACAGACAGCCTCGTAGAATCATTATCGTATAAACCATACCCTTTGCAGCCTACGCCACATCATTTCCTGGTCAAGAACCACAAAAAGGTGGTGAGATTCAGAGATTGCGTGGCACGTCTCCAAATAGTGTGAGAAGTGCCATTTTACATATCCAACTAGAAACCACGCGCGGGCTTTTGTTGGACTGGCCCATGATTATGCCTCAATATGAATATGAAAATAATCAGTGTGTGCTGCCCAGACTGCGCGGCTCCCGTTGGATCAACCCACTCATGGATCTTTGTTACATTTGAAATGGGTTGACGATGCCTTTTCTGTGGCACAGATGCTGCTAAGTTGTGATGGTCGTGCTAATCTGAAACCAAGCCTGAAAGTATAATAGTAGTTTGGTCAATTACTCTATTTTGCATTTATCGGTGCTAAATTATTTATAAGGCAAAGCTTATGGCCTTAGCTAGGTCATTGAGACCATTCAAAAACCATTGAAAGCTAAAGTTTCAAGAAACACAAAAGTTATGAATACAACGCAAGGTCTAGAATGCACAAATGACCCAAAGATATATGCTCAACATATGGCATGAAATATTCATGGTGAAGAACCACATATCCACCATGTTATTCCGCTGGAGGTCAGGTGTAATGGTCTACTCAAAACACCAAAACTGTACGAGTAATGGGTTGGACATGGGCTGACAGGTTCAACTTCGATAACTGGTGGCTCCACTTGTGGCAACTGTCTGCCCATCTTGGGATGGCGGATCACTTCACCAATGTCCTTGATGACAGATTACAGTATCTCTCCCAAGCCAACTCCTTTTTGTTTAGTTTTATCAGGATCTCCATTGGAATTCCAGTAAACTGCTGCAAGGGAGTTTGGACACTCCACATTTGTTTGTCTACCAACTTGCAAAGGTTCAGCGCCTTTTCGGCTAGTGGAGCCCATCCCCTCTTCAAAATAATCTCAAAAAGTGCTAGTAAAAAAACGACCAGCACGCTGCATTACAGAAGGGAGTGAAACATAAGTATACGGAGTTCAAAACTGTTTTGCTACATCTTAGACTCTTAGTACTATATGCCCTCTGCAGAGATTATTGACCAATGCAGGCTAATACAGTTATTAACTACTAGACAACTATAATACACTTAAAAATATATCTTGCGTGTGCAATTGTGAGAGCCTATGGGGCAGATGACCTTTAGAAATATGTTAACCTAAGATGATACATTGTTTCTTTTTATCCCAATTCTGACATAAAAAATCATATGTAGAACAACTGCAAATCCAAGAATAATCATAGAACGATAACATAGGTGGATATATTGAGCAAACATATAGTAGAATTATTATCATTGAAGTAGTGACATTGAAACTCAGTTTGCCATCAAAGGTTCTACAGTTTCTATTCTACTGTGCCTCTGGAACTATTGATATTACCCTGGTGATTTCAGTTTCATCATAATGCTTACAGAAATAAAAATGTATGCCAATTGGAGCAATAATTAGAATCCATAAGTTACCACTGTAATAAAAGGTGAAAAATTTAAGCTGACAGTACTGTCATTTCAGTTCTTGATATCATATTTGAAAACTTTTATAAAAAAAGATCTTTACAACTTTTTGAATAGCATTGAAGAAGTATATTAAGCATACTCTATAGTTGTTGCACAGATGAAGCGAGAGATCTTTATGATTTTTTCAGTTTCATCATAATGCCTTGTATGCCAATTGGAGCAATAATTAGAATCCATAAGTTACCACTGTAATAAAAGGTGAAAAATTTAAGCTGACAGTACTGTCATTTCAGTTCTTGATATCATATTTGAAAACTCCCAACAAAAAGATCTTTCCGAATAGCATTGAAGAAGTATATTAAGCATACTCTATAGTTGTTGCACTCATCCTTGATTTTGAGCTTATCTTCCTTCCTTGCCACCCACACATTCACAGGGCGCCATGAGATTTCCATGGTTCAACTCAAGCAGCGGGGTGAGCTGCGGCTGCAACGGACGACGTCCACTGTCCACCGGTGCTGCCACCAGCATATCAGTGGACAGCGGCCCATGTGGCACTGCACAATTGCAGACATGGGATTTACTGGTAGTCTGTAATAAATTTGTACCATTTTTTATGAAGATTTGCAAGAAACCTGAATTAGAACTGTATAATCAAGCAAAAGGCATGGCAAAGAGCAAGAATTAAGAGATGCCAAATGCCCAAATTACATTTCTAAACTAAGCATAAGAGGCATTGCATTGTGGCAAATGAACTGAGGATTTATATCATGGTAATGAATCAACGAACCAAGTTTTGTGCAAGTCCTGCATATGCAAAGTATAACTGTCCACTGGAGGGAGGCAAACCTTGTAGGCATTTTATCGAGCATGTGTTGGGCGGCTGGCGGCGAGGGCCGCGGCCACCTTGTCCGGTTGCCGCCTCCGTCTCGAGGACGCGGGCATCGCTGTTGCCTGACATTGGCTGGCGCGGGCGGTGAGCCCTGCTCTGCGAGGCGTGCGGGCAGATGATGATTCGAGCGAGCGATGAAGAGCAGGGATTGGATCGGAATTTGGAGCTGTTGGCCAACGGTGCCCATGTGGAAGACTCCACTCTCGCCATACGCTGGAAAGCCGAGCACGGGGAGGGGCGGACCTGGCGAGGTAGGTGGTGTTGCGCGCAGGCAAGGATGGGTACGTGGTACCAGGGCCGGCCGCGGCTCGGCGGGAGGCGGTCCGTGGTCTGCTGGCCACGCGCGCAGGCCCTGCTGCAGCGGCGCAGCACGGCCGCGCAACGGCGGCGGGGAAGGTGAGAGGGAGGCGGGAGGTCGAGCAAGGAGCCGTGCGCAGGCTCGCCTCCTTCTTAAGCGCGGCGCAGGGGTAGGGAGCGGCCAACATGGCGGCATGGGCGCCGTGGCGAGCCATGTGCCGCCCGCACCGCTGGCGGCGACGGGGTCGCAGGGGCCGCTGGGGCACCCACCCGCGAAGGGATGGCCTGGACCGGAGCCGCGCCCGCACCCCGCCTGCACCGGGCCGTCGCGGCCGCTGGGGCCCCCGCTCGCGCCGGGATGGCCGGGAGCCCGGGACCGGAGCGGTCGGGTCCGCCGCGCCTGTACCCCGCCTGCGCTTGGGTCGACAGGGGCGCTGGGAATGCATCGCCCGCGACGGAGGAGGAGGGAGGTGCGGGAGTCGCCCGCGAGCGGGTTCGCGAGGATTCGCGACCCGAGAGACCCGCAACGCACCCGATCGAACGGTCCATATCGCGACTTGGCTTGATCCGACGGCTAGCAGGTTTGCTGGCGACGTGGCCCTGTCTGTTAGCCCGTTTTGGTGCAGGAATCATCAGCCTCCTCGGTGGACTGGTTGGTATGGTTGCTGTTTGGTTTACGTGAAGTGAGAGAGAGTTCTTGTTGATTTATTTAAATAGTGGTCATGTGAGGAGGCTAGCTAACGGGCTGCATATCTAGAGAAGACTAGAGATGGTCTATGATTAGAGCACCCGCAATGAGCCGAGACTTGAAATATGGGCCCCCAATCTGAACATTTTTTTCTCTATTCCTTAACATGAGAAAAATCTCCATCTATCTCACGGCCCGCTGCAAAAGAATTATTTCGTGGGTTAGAAGCCCGAGCACCAATAGATCTCTATATGTATTCTCCGATGATAGATTTTGGAGATGAAGCATCGACCCTGCAGTGTTGAAAATCGATGCTTGAATACTCTCTCCTTTTTAAAAATCGGGTATCCAGTACTCTGCCGATGCTCTCATAGTCCCAGAAGAGAGGGGACATGACCCGTTAAACCATGAAATACGTATTTTGTGTGGTGAAGAATATAGATCTTATATAAGGAAAATAGGCTATTGACACTTGAACAATTATGTATCACAAATTCAAGTTGAGAGGAGATAAATCTTGGTTGTGTTGCCGTAAGCTCACTTTCACTAGCTAAGCTAGGAGTATTATATTATTTATTATTCTATTTGTCCTAAAATATAAGATGTACACGTGTCTTAGCTACAGCGAACATGGGCTAATCAAGGGCTATTTACGATTAGGGGCCCTTTGGATTGCAGGCGAAACAAAAGAATTTTAGGCCTGGAATCCATTCCTTTGGAAAGGTTTCTAGAAATGATGATGTTTGGAATGAAGGAAACTTCAACAGTAAAACAAAGGAAAGTTTCCTACCTCTATTTATTTTACGGGAAACAAAACATCCAGTCCAAACCAATGGATTCACGAAGACCGAGACATCAAACCATTCATTTCACGGGAAACAAAACATCCAGTCTAAACCAATGGATTCACGAAGACCGAGACATCAAGAGAAGAGAAACAAAAAAATAATGTTATTTCCTACGTTTTTCCTGTGTTATGGATTCCTATGTTTTCCAAACACCACTTCTAGTTATTTTTCGCGTTTTTCCTTTCATCTGTTTTACCACTACACACTCACTCCATTTCTACGTTTTTTCCTATTCCTGTGTTTTTGATTCCTGTGTTCTAAACAGGCCCTTACAGGATTGAACTTCCTAAGGATTTTTTCCTATACTTGCCTTTGGTTCATAGGAAATGTGAAGAAAGTATTCTATAGGATTGTGATCCTACAGCTGAATTCCGTAGGAAAGAAAGCAAGAGCTCCGAGCTCTTGGAAACTTTCCTGGCGCCAAAACTAATCACGAGCACGTATATTCTGGTGAGCATTATTTGAGCTGTTTTTTTTTGTCTGATCTAGGACGTGAGCCTTCTAGAGCCAAACAGCATCGGTCAATTCCTTTGTTCTTTACTTTCAATGCTCAACAAGTGTAGCCGTTCGGACTAAAACATGGGAGCATCTGCAAGTTCCTTCGTTTCATCTGATCTTCTATCAAAGGCCATCTCCTCTAGTTTCCTTTGTTTCAATTCCCATATAATTCGAGAAGTATGCCATCTCAATTCAGTTTTTCCTATTCCTATACAAGTCCTATCATACAATCCAAAGGAGCCCTTAATAGATTCGTCTCATCAATTAATCATCACTTATGCAATTAATTTTAAAATAAATTTATGCTTAGTCTTTTTAATTAGCACCGAACAAGCCCTTAACACATGTACTCGTATTTTTCGCTAATTATAGCTTGGTCCACATCGAGCTGGCCGCGAGAGTTGACTCGCGTACGTGTCGATCGAAAATATTCTTCAGACCTCCTCGCTGGTGCCGCACAGTCGAACCGTGTGGACCTAACTTTTCCTATAAACAATTTGACGGGCCCACGAGATACGGGGGAACAGCAGTGATTGAACAAAAGCCAAAGTTTGGCCCACGAGCGGTTACTGGCCGGAGAGGTGGTTTCCGCGTGTGCATGTTCACCCGCCTCCTCTCCTTCGCAAGACGGCAAAGAGGAGTCGCCATCGCCCGCCCCATCTAGTCTGTGTCGGTGTGGTCGTGCGGGGGCGGTGCTGCGCTCCTCTGTTCGGGGCAGGACTCCTCATCGCCGCCTCACTACTCCAATCTCCATCGCCATTGCCGGCGCAAGCAAAGCAAAAGGGGCGGAGAAGCATGGCGGGGCGCTACGACAACAACCCCTTCGAGGAGGAGGACGTGAACCCTTTCTCGGTACGCACGCCCATCCTCCACCCCTATGGCGCAGATCTAGTTTCCTTACCTGGCATCGGTTTTCTTCCGAGAATCAGTGGGGTATTCGCTACTTCGCTCCTGTTTGGATCTGGACGGGGCGCAGATCTGACCACGTCCCGGCGATGGAAAAACAAATGCATGTTACCCCCTTGCAGTATCGCCGACGCTGCTAGTGGATATTTTTTTTATTATTCTGGCCTGACGATGCAATGGCGCTTCAACCTCTTGTGCGTGTCTGTGGTTGAAGTTTTTATTGGTGGGTTTTCCTTACACAGGAACAAGCTCGCGGCAAGGCTGGCGGGCAGTCCAACTTTGGCGGTGGCGCGTTTTACATGCCTGTGAGTTGTTCTGTTCTTATGAGTTACGCGACCTCCGTGGTATGGCACATCAGTCAGGGGTTCATATTGCTTGCCTGCTTAATGTTGTGTGATTTCTGCTGAAATGTAGAACCCCAGAAACGTGACTCCTGCATCCAATTCACGCCTTTCGCCGCTTCCTCCTGAACCGGCAGGCTTCAGTGCCACAGTGGATATACCCCTTGACTCTTCAAAGGTGTGTAAGAATGTGCATTGCCTTCTCATATGCAAAATGTGGCTGTATGAACACACTTGCTAGGAAACGCTGTTCAGCGCAACCAATAACTTGTGCTTTGTGGATATCCAGGACCTGAAGAAAAGGGAGAAGGAGCTGCAAGCAAGGGAAACGGAATTGAACAAGAGGGAGAAGGTACGCTGCACATGACACATGCCTCTACATCTTCCTTTCAGTTTTGATTAAACACAACACAATCACGGCTCCTTAGATAATTGGTTTTGTTGTTGTTGAGATGATCAGTTTAATTTTCATTCCAAGCATGAATTGTTGCTTAGTGGGCTTAAATGTGAATTAGAATTCACTTGTTAAATCCCCACTGGACTCTATTTTGCTGCCCCAAATTGTATTTTTCTGCTGTACTCTGGTATATTTGGAGGAATCTCTGAAAAACTGTTGTCAGTTTCTGACTGTCTATTGTATCTGTTATATTGACTAGGAACTAAAACGAAGAGAGGAGGCTGCAGCAAGAGGTAAATGCTCATTGTTTTTTTTTATTAATGACTCAGTAGAAGAACTGTACATTCGTAGTGTCTTTGTCTCTTCCCATTGAAGAAGAAATAATCATGCAATTTACCTAATGTTGACAGGTTAGAAGTATGGCATATTACATCTGATGATCTGAAATAATAACATGATCTTGTAAAACATGTCTACTGAGCCTCAGCTACACTGGTTCGTTAACGTATAAGCACTAGCCTGGGTCTAATTGCTGTCTTGATGGAAAACGGTACTGTGGTAAATGACACTACATAATTATATGTAAAACAAGTATGAATAGTGAACATCAGAAAGTTTGGAAGGCTTTCATACATTCACTCTCTTTTTCATTCAACAGGGCATTGACATGAAAATTATTATGATCCATGTTTTTAAGATAAAGTTCATTTTGTTTCACAAGTTGCTAAGCTTACATTTCCTTATTTTGTTTGGCAGCTGGCATTGTCATTGAGGAGAAAAATTGGCCTCCTTTTCTACCACTCATCCATCATGATATCACCAATGAGATACCGAGTCACCTTCAAAGAATGCAATATGTTGCATTTGCGTCATTTCTTGGTATGCTGCTTCTGATTCTCAACATCCTGAAAACTTTCACTCTGATGAATAATATTCAATATTCTCCTTTATTTAATGGTGCAATCTGCAATGGACATGCCTTCCCCCCAAATATATTGGATGATGTTCTTTTAAGTTCTACGTTTTGGATTTTCCATTGGTCTTATCTTCTCACTGGTGGGCTGTGAACCTGTGTAAGACATGCAAGCGATTTCTTCCAACCTTTGAATCAATGACTCCAGCATTCCTGTAATGGTTTTGGTCAGATATATTTTAGAATGGAAAACTGATTCTTCCATTGATACATTTCTTATATTTTAGCCAGAATACAAGTTATTAAATTGATATGTGTGCTGATGGAATAATCAGTGACACTAATGGTTATGTTCTTGTATGTCTGCATTCTCCAAACATGTTAATTTAATTTCTTAAACATAGGGAGGAGCAAAGTAAGATATTAATGGTACTGAAAAGTTGCATTCCTTTTGAAGTTATACAAAGCTATATCGCATTGAGAAATCTACATATTTTGAGAGGCAAAGATCGAAGGATTAGAAATTTATCTTATTAATTTGCATATGATTTATTGAAGCATATTATTTCAACAGTTTTATTTGGTATTGAATAGGGTTGGTTTGCTGCCTTTTCTGGAATGTCATAGCAGTTACTACAGCTTGGATCAAGGGGGAAGGTATACTGAGTCCTTTTGGTGTTATTTGTGGTTCTATCAAATTATCTCATGCTCACATTTTTAAAATTGTATTAACCGTTTCAGGTGTTAAGATCTGGTTATTGGCGATAATCTACTTCATATCTGGTGTTCCTGGTGCATATGTTTTGTGGTATCGTCCTCTGTATAATGCAATGAGGTAATTTATTTGAAATATCATCACATTATTTTGTGCCTCTACCATATTTTTTTTGTATGCATGGATGGGTAATGTTTGTTGGCAACTTGTTTTGTAGGACTGATAGCGCATTGAAGTTTGGATTGTTCTTCTTGCTTTACTTGGTAAATATAACAAGTTTCTTACTGAAGTGTCCAAGAGTTATGATTTTTATTTATATTATTATTGTGTTCATTAATGCTTGAACCTCCTGTGCTTGCAGTTCCACATTCTTTTCTGCGTATTTTCTGCTGTGGCTCCTCCTGTTATATTTGAGGGAAAATCATTGGCGTAAGTTTCTTGCCTGCCTTTTCCTAAAAGCTTTTGGCTTCTGTGAACTTGCACTCGATCAAATATGTTTTTTACTATGATGTATGGGTGACACAATCTGTAGATCTTGCACATTTCAATGTGTCTGTAAAGTAACATTGATGTTAAAATTAGTTTAGTTGGCTTATATAGAACAAATCTCCACTGCTCCATTTCCTAGTTGGACAACCCCATCACTGGATGAAGAATTGAAGATAAAAACACGAAGTGTTTTACTGGTCTGGACAATGGCATCCCAAGATCTTGTGATTGATGTTTAGAGGGGCAATAGATAACTGGACATCCTTGCAGTACCTTGTGGATCTTTGTCATGAACTAACTCCTGTTGTTTACTCTTGCAGAGGAATTTTGCCAGCAATTGATCTTATCAGCGTGAATGCTTTGGTTGGGGTAAGCTGAGCACCTTTTTGTTTGCTAAATGAGAGCTTTGAAATTTTTGATAAATAATCTTCATCTAGTATCCTTGATGCAAAATGTAATTCTCTGATTTGTTTAGTAACTGAGTAATCCATACGATTGTTCTGCAGATATTCTACTTTGTTGGATTTGGATTGTTCTGTCTGGAATCGTTGCTCAGCATCTGGGTCATCCAGGTCAGTTTTCTATGATCAACCGTTCTTTTTTTCCTGAACCAACTTCAGACTGCAGTGCGACATATCTGAGCCCTTTTTGGATTCTTCGCGTGCAGCAAGTGTACATGTACTTCCGTGGAAGTGGAAAGGCTTCAGAGATGAAGCGTGATGCCACAAGGGGTGCAATGAGAGCTGCATTTTAAGTGCGGTGTGGTATTTTTGTGATGATAGTCCTAGTCCCAAGCGCATACTTCCGGTGGATAGGTTGTGCCACAAACAAAAGCACATGCTTCTTCCTTGGTTGCTGACTGTGATACCAAACTGACAGTAGGTTATCGTGATGTTACGAGTGATATTATATCACTCGCCGTTCTGTTTTAACTAAATATAGGGAATGTGCAGCTTTTACTGCTTTATTATTTCATCGTTTTCTTCTTGCTAGTTGAAATGTGGAGTGAATTATGAACCATCTTTAATTGAGTTGTACAGTGCTGTTAACTATTTATTCTACTTTTTTGAGCAGCTATTTGGACTTGTTGAATGAGTAATGCCAATAAATTTCTAGCGTGTGGGAGGTGCACATGCATGTGTAATCGTGCACTAGTTTGAATGCGGTGTGTGAAGTGTGCGCGTCTTTAATAGAAAATGGGTTGTCAATTCTTTGATTTGAATCCAACAATCCAAATTGACTGGCCAATGACGGCCTCTAATTTTAATGAGGCTGCCCCAGGGGTAGTCTTGGGCATAATTGACCAAAGATCGAACTAACCGAGACCGGAAGTAACAGATCAAAGCTTGCGGTCACTAGTTTGGTCTCAAGTCCCTCAGTCTGGTCTCAAGTCCATACTACTTTGGTTACACGCCTAGCATTTTCAAGAGTATTCTATTTCCCTTTCCAATCCTTAATTTTTAACAAAACGAGAAAAAAGTCATCTTCAATGACTTCTAATCCATACTCCTAAAATTTAAGCACTTAGAAAATCCTCCCCCGTTACGCGACTTTGTGCGTAGTTGTGGGGTGTGGATACTGCTTTCCTAATTTAAAAATAGTATATGATTCCTAATATAAAATTGTCTTCTATATTTTAGAAGTGGATTATTGAAAACTCTTTTTTTTCCTGCCAATACATTTTTAGGAGTTGCAAAACTACATATTTTTAGAGGAAAAAATAGGATACTTTTGGAGATGCTCTAACCGAACTAGCTGAACATTTAGATTTTGTTGACATAACATGTACTTTAGACTATTACTAGTGATGTAATATTTATTTTAGTGGGTTTATATCAACTATCACTCTTATCATTTTGTTTAATCTATATGTTGTATTGTCATTTTTGCCTTAACATAGAAAAAATATTACTAAAATTTACTATTAATTATGCTAGTTAGTGGTTGTTTTGTCTAATTCGGTTAGTTCGGTAATGACTGGACTGAATCGAACTTGCTCGATCCTGAGTTTTAAAACGAATCGATTGGTCTCTATTTTTAGATGACTGAACTTCCAATGACCGAACAACCGATCGTTTTGATTTGGTCAGACTGAATGCTCTCCTCTACCTGGGGAACTACCCTTCCTAACACATACAAGCTCGATTGTACAATCAGCAGCCATGCGGGCAATTTTGGAAGTTAGTGACTTAATGGCATTACCCTAAGTTTAGGTATCTCGTCCCGTTTAGCAAGATTGGGGACATATATAGATATGCACTTTTAAAAGTTTGGAATTAGATGGCCGTCCAAGTTTAGATAATGGACCAACATATTAGATTTATGTTGGTTTAAAGAGACCAATTGGGACTAAAATTTAGTCTTTAGTCCCTTCTCCCATGGAAAAGAACACGCCCTTAACTACTAAACTGCTAAACAAATTGACTAAAAAGGGACTAAAGTAGTTTAGTCACATTAGTCACTCAAGAGTAACTAAAAGTGGGCTAAAGTGCCCAGTGAACAAGGGCTGCCCCTTATTATTGCTGGTCTCCCACCCTGATTTGGATATTCATTAGCAATAGTTTGGTCTTTATTGAGCTGCTTTAATAGCCTTTAGTCAATTTTAGTCACTATAACCAAATAGAAATAACTAAAGTTTAGTCACTAGTTTTAGTAGCTAAATTTTAATTGAGGGGACCAAACAGGGACGCAACGAGATTGAATTAAGGGAAGGGATGAGCGGTGAGAAATAACTGTGCATCGGTTTGTATTTTTCGTTACTCTACAAGCTCCATAAACTGTTTCAACTCAGGCAAGTCTATCTTTCATCTGTGTGTGCCATCTCTCGCCAACTGAACACATCTTTAATCTTTTTTGTTTTTGAAAAAAACTGGTGACTTACATTTGCAAATCTCATGCATTTCGTCTATCGAATTTCTAGAGAGTTTGGAAGCCAAACAGAAATCTCTCAGCACATTGTTGAATTACAAACGAAAGAACAAAAACGACAGCCAGTCTGTCGCTCTCGTGGACTATTCAGAGGAACACAGGCGAGGCGACCAGCTTGCTGCTGCACCTCGTCAGCCAATCCTGGTGTTGTCCCTGCCAAACACAAGCGTCGTTCCCCAGTTCACCGCCACGTAGAACCTGTTCCTCCAGCTCACCACCCGCGTCAGGTACGCTGACCGCCACATCAGCCAGCTGAGGAAGCCAGCCATCGACACCCCCTTGGCATCCTGCAAATGCAAAAACCGCCACATCTAATCTCATGCCACATTTTGCACTGATCAGAAAGCAGATTAATGGCTCAGCGGCAGTGCCTTGTTCTCCCTGAGGTCGACGAGCGCCTTGTACCGGCCGACGGACGCCATGCTACCGATGTGCTTGTACACGAACGGCTCCCCGAGGTCGACCTTGCCGGCGCAGTGCGCCTTGCCGCCGTTCTGCGCCGCGACCTTCCCGAGCAGCCGCGCCAGGTACCGGCCCTCCCGCTCCGCGACCTGAGCCAACGCCGGGAGCACCGGCTTGCCGGTCCCCTCCAGGAACCCCGCGCAGTCGCCCAGCGCGAACACGTCCGGGGCCGTGGGCACGCGGAGCCACTCGTCCACGCCGATCCTCCCGCCAGGGGACTTGGGCAGGTACAGGGACTTGACAAACTCCGACGGGCCGACGCCCGTGGACCAGACCAGCAGGCCGTAGGGCACGCGGGTGCCGTCGCTCAGGGTGATCTCAGTGGGCTTCACCTCCTTCACGATGCCTCGCACCAGATTAACTCCATACTGTCACAGATGCAGCACAAAACATTGATTAAGCCCTGAGATCACATTAATTAATGTGCATTTGCGAGAATGTTATACTTCAGAATGTCATCACAGAAATAAGCCTATGTTACCTTTGACAGGTGATTCGTCGCGTACTGCCGCAGCCCGATATCGAACGATGACAAGATCTCGTTTGCCTGGAAAGAACAGGTCATAAACGATGAGATGATCAGAAACTTTTCAGTAAGTCCAATCGATGTCGATGCATATACGTACTAATACTGTCGGTTCATGAGGTGCACCGAGTACGTACCTCGATGAGGGTGACCTTGACGTAGTCCTTAACGTGCGCGTACCTCTGGCGCACGTCGCGCGTGATGAAGTCACTGAGCTCACCGCTGAACTCGACGCCGGTGGGGCCTCCGCCGACGACCACGCAATGCAGGAGCCGCTGCTTCTCTTCGTCAGACAAGCCTAGAGAGCACAGTGCTTGATCATCATCACAGCCGAAGTTTGCAATGCGTGCAAGCTAATAATGATCAATGCGCGTAACTAACGATGATCGACGTATTTTCCCTAAAGAGAGAGGTGTGTACGTGAACCGATGTTGTGTTGTTACCTGGATTCTCGGCGAGCATGAGGTTGGTGAGCAGCTTCCTGCGGATCTCCTGCGCGTGGCTCACCTCGCGGAGGAAGATGGCGTTCTCCTGAACGCCCTTGATGTTGAAGGTGAGCGGCTCGGCGCCGCTCGCGATCACCAGCTTGTCATAGGCGATCTTGAACTGGTACGGGTCGCTGGGCAGCTGTGCATCGCCGGACGCGGCCGTGCAGTACACCTCGTGCGCCTTGGTGTCGACGCCGGTGCAGGAGGCAAGGAAGAAGTAGGAGCCGGGGCGGGTGGCGAGCGCCGACTGTATGCGGCTGACGGGCTCGACGACGGAGCGGAACTCGAGCGTGCCGACGCACGTGGACGCCAGCAGCGGCGTGAACACCATGTGGTTCCGGGGCGACACGCACACGACATCGTAGGCGCGCGTGTCCACGTCCTTGAGCAGCCGGCACGCCGCCCACCCGGTGCCCAGCACCACCACGCGGGGCTTCTCCCCGGGCCGCGTCGGGCCGAGGCTCGGCATCTGGCGAGGCGGCGCCGCCACGGCCTCGGGCTCCCTCGTCTCCGCGTCCGAGAGCTCCGCCGCCACTGCCGCGGACGACGCGGGTGCAGCCTCGCGGGCGTGGTGACGATGCCCCTGTTCGGCGGCTGGAGGAGGTGGCCGGCGGACCTTGCCGCGAGGCTGTGGAGCGACGACGCGTGCTGGCCACGGGCGTGGGACAGCGCGGCGGCACTGCGCAGCGCGGAAACCGCCTCCGCCGGCGACGCTCCGCCGACGCCGCCCTCAGAGACGATCCTCGACAGGGACTGCGACAGCGACAGCTGCGCTCCCCTCCCGATCCTAGACAACGCCGCCGCCATCTACGGGAGTAGCTGCTTCAAGCGTGCGTGGGAAGTAGCTATCACAGAAGGGCCTGCAAAACGGAAGCCCAACCAAACTGCATTCAGCAATGTGTGAATAACTGGTTCGATGGGCATTTTTTTGGGAAGTCTCGGTGGACGCTGATTTTGACCATCCTCCCAGGATTCTGGAACTGACGAACTAATCTCCCTAAATTTTCTTCACCACGATTTTTACATATAACTTTGACTCAATTTATAAAAAATATGTACAACATTTCTATCTTCAAATAAATTTATTAAAAAACTAGATTCAAATATCTATCTAATGATATTAATTATTTACCATAAATATTAATATTTTTAAATATATATTTAGTTAAAATTGTTTTTCGGGGACGAAAACGACAGACATTTAAGGACAGGTGCCTGTTTAGTTCACAAAATTTTGCAAAATTTTTCAAGATTCTCCGTCACATTGAATCTTTGGACGCATGTATGAAGCATTAAATATAAATAAAAAATAAAACTATTTACACAGTTTAGACGAAATTCACGAGACGAATCTTTTAAGCCTAGTTAGACTCTGATTGGACACTAATTGTCAAATAACAATGAAAGTGCTACAGTACCATTTTCAAAAAAAATTCTCAACTAAACGAGGCCCAGGAGGGAGTATGCATCTTACGAATTGTACTCCAAGTAAAAGCAGTCAAAAATCAAATTGTTCTCCAAGAAATTTGCCGAAGCGAAGAACAAGTATGACAAGCCCTTGGCAAATCAGCGACGACGCTGGAACGCGCACATGTACCACGTCGTGCATACGGGTGGAGTCATCAGTAATCACGCGCATGGAAAACAACATTACAATGTAACCAAGAAATCAAAAGTGAAAACAACATTACAATGTAACCAAGAAATCAAAAGTAGCCGCAGTCGATGGCGCGTTGTGCCCGCCGCCGCCGCGGAGTTTCGTTCATGGTTCCAATTCCCCCTCAGCCATCACGCCAAACCCTAGAGCCCCAACTTTCGTGGATGGCCATTCCAGAACGCAGACAAACGACGGTGAAGTTTACGAAGAATTGCCGTGCGAATATGACGACAAAGGCGATTTGATAATTATTGGGGAATCATCCCTTAAAAGACGATCTCGTAACGACGTGTGTAATTAATTATGCCCGTCGCCATCGATCAACTGATCGGACTACGAAAAACTTTTAATCTAAACCAGGCCTACGAATCCAAGATTCCAACAGCAGCAGCAGCGCCGCGGAAAGGACAGGTGGTGGTGTAGGTGCCGACGTGCCGACGGGCCGTGCGCGTGTCCCTGCCTCATTTTATATTCCTGACTTGCCGGAGGGGGATCTCGCGGCGGGGAGGCCTCGACTTGCGTAGCAAGAAGAAGAAAACGACCGGGACCCCACAAAACCTCTCGCCTGCCCGGGTCCCTGCGTGCAGGGAAGGTGCGCTAACTGCTAGGACTCCGTCAGCGGCTCAGCGCTTAGCTGTCGCGGCCTGTCAACGGTCGCTAGGCGCCCAGATACTTGCGGCGCACCCTGATGGTCGACCCGGGGGTCGGCGCGGAGCGTTTCCACGGACGTTGTATTGTGCCTTTGCGCTAGCCGCTAGGTCACTCACCATGTGTCCATGTCCCATACATGGTGCCGTGGTGACATTCCAGCATATAGCACTAGCACCACGATTTGGAGCTAGGAACTCACAGTATGTACGTACACAAGTTTGTACACGTGTAACAAACTTTGATTTTTACTACTCAGTCACTCATCACTATGTTCCAAATTACCCAATTACTATAGGCATGTTTGGTATAGCTCAACTTCACCATATAAACTGTTTTTTTTGCAAAATAGCTTCATAAACAACATTTTTTTTAAGCTGAGTTGTTTTGAAAAGTGTTTGGCAAAACAACTTTATATAATGGAACAATGAATAAAATGACTATAATATGGGAGATAAAACTACGATAAGCTACTTGTCGGGTTCACAAACCCGGGGTCCCTCGGGGACCGGCTTTCACGCCAAGGCTCGGCCCAGGAAAACGACATGTTGTTCATGGGCCGGGCCGAAGGTCTAAGAATATGACGGGCCGGAAGGACAGTCCGGTCGCCGACCGAAAGGTCCGCCCAAAGGAACGCCCGCTCATCAACCTCTTCGGCCCACCTCCGACCGGAGCACACGCCTCGGGCACCAGCCGCCTCCGGGCGGTCTCTCCGATCGGAAGGCCTGGCCCAAAACGTTGTTTCCTACTCCGACCCCGCAACTCCGACCGGGGACCGTAGGAAGCCAGCGTACCGCTCTTCTCCGACTAGCACGGCTAGGGCCGACTGGAGCCATCCAACCGGGGACGCCCGCTCGGAAAGGACCAGGGGCGAACGGAGAACGCAGCGCACAAGTCAAACCACAATACCAGGGGCCATACCCTGTACGCCTGCGGGAACAGTACTCCACAACCGCCCTGACACAAAACAGTATTGTAGGCATCGACATTGGTATCTACAGTATTGTAGGCGCCGTCGGACTCCCATACGGCAAAGAGCCTCCCCCATGCCTCTAGACACCGATAGTAGGCGCCAGGGTTCACCATACCTGGTACACAGGGTAGGGCTCCTCACGTAACAATAGTATTTTGCAGGTACCGACATCCACCCTTCCTGAAGAAGCCAAGGCAACCTCCCATGTGCACCAGACATTCTACAGTGACATCAACAGTATTGTGGGCGCCTACCATCATTGCTACCCTCGTCGGCGTGGGCAACAAGGCTTAGAAACATCCATACTCTCTCTCTCTCACGTAAAGCCATCCCCTTCATCTATAAAAGAGGATACGCTCCCTCCAACAAAGGGGATCGATTGACCAGAGGACGCTTCTTCTTCAAGCTTAGATTCACTAGATCGATAACTCACAACCCCTCAAGCACACGCTTGAACACCTAGCTCATAGCGGAGTTCCGGTCGCCCTCGGCCCTTCCGGTCGGACCCGACCGGGCCTCTCACACACCCCTCATTTCTCCTTCTCGTTTGTAACCCCACTACAGACTTCGAGCACCTGGGCTTAGGAATAAAGTCACCGAACGACCCAGACTGGACGTAGGGCACGTTGCCTGAACCAGTATATATCCTGCGTCATTGAGTGCTAGGCCACCTCCGATCACAACGTACAACAAAACTACAAATATTCACTAGTTGGTCACTTTCTGTACCGATAGTTGGCGCCGTCTGTGGGGAAGACGTTGTGCGTTGAACACTTTTTGGTCATCGGATGGCCCATTTTTCCGCCACCCCCACCATGGCGAGCTCGGGCAATATGATTCGCCTCGACTCACTGGGGTATCCCGCTCTCTCGCTTGCGGGGATGCAGGTTTCACCCGTTTTCGAGCCATCCCAGGCCTTTCTCTTCGGAAGCCTGGACTTCGTCGCCGACCGGCTCGGCGTACTCCACCTCCACGAGGAGACTCACGATCCGGCACCCATCGGGGTGACGTCCTCCATCGACTCCGGGACGCGCGATCTCAACGGCGCGGCATCTGCGCTTCATTCCGAGTAAACTCTCTGCTCAAACCCTGTTGTGAGTAATATACATGCCGTTCTTTACTTACTACATTCTATCTTCCGCCAAACACCCGGAGGGCTGCCGTTGTCCCCGTCGCGGCCACCGTACGGCCGGTTCCCCTATGGCCTCTTGTCTCCCGCAGACGCTTACGCCCGGGGGCTCCGAAAGACTATGGCGCCGCCTCCTCCCACGTCTGAGTTCGTGGGGATGGCAAGCTACGGTCCCACCTGTTTCCTCGACATCATGGATGACGACGTCGGGAGTGATGGCTCCAGCATCGGCGATGTAGCACCCAACCATCGTCCGTCCTGGGAGTGCGTTATGACGGACGCTCCGGGACAGCCGCCAGGGGCAACGGAGTCCTCACGGACTCACGCCCCTCCGGGCCCTCATATGGAGACCTCCGAGCTCACACGCGAGCACGAGGAGGAACTACGACGACAGTGGCCGCATCAGCCACCAACTGCGCCAGCGCACTTGGCGCGCTACACTGCGCCCCGGGCACACGGACCGACGAACGGCGTTTGGGGTCACGCCCGTCAGGTCCAGCGCAACACCCCGGATAGAGGGACCGATCCCCCACAGTTCGCTCGGGCCAGTCAAAACATTGCCGCCACGGCAATGCTCCTGCGCGGCGTATCCGAGCCGAGCGACCCTCGCGAATGGGCGATCCATCGGAACCTCCGGGCACTGGTGGAGACTGCCACCGTTCAACAAGCGGAATGCTCCGTGTCGCGACGCCAACTCGCGACCTCGCTCCCCGTCCGGGGAACAGGGACACAGCAGATGGGGCACTACACCCTGTCACCGCAACAACCGCTGAGCGTGGTATAGGAGGTCGGAACGGCACCTCATCTTGACCTGACGACCGCTCCACACCAACCGCCTATCTACGCGTGGCTCGAACCGAACCGAGGCACATACAACGGTGACCGGAGTCCCAGCACTGACGACCTAGGACCACCGACCTTTGCCCAACTCCCCCAACAAGCGCCGTTCCTACCGCGCTTCGACGGAGGCCACGGTAAAGGTAAGGCCAAGCGCCAGGATCAAGACGAGGGCCCCTCCATGCAGAGGGAAAAAAAGAACATAAAGGATCGCCGCCGACCGGC